ATGTGAAGGGTTCTTGGCCGATGTGGTCAAGTTTTTGAGTGGAGTTGTGGAGGGGTATGAGCGGCAGCTGGAAGTGGCTGTTGTTGGGATGGGGAAAAGGCGGTTGGAAGTTGTCGAAATGTTGATTTCGAGTGGGAGGGTTGTTGGTGGAGGATTTAGATTGGCAGCTAGTGCTGCAGGGGAAGTTCTACTGGAGGAGCCTCCGGCGTATGCCGAGGGTGGTGGACATGGTGCCAGTCCTATACCAATCTGCGTCGTGGATTCATCCGAAACTATTGCTAGCGATGCGGCAGACTCGGAAGCCTCAGAACCAGTCATCGAGCAACAGCCATCAACTGGAATCCTCACATCCGCCTCGTCTTCAACAACGTTAGTGGACTTGGCGTCGAATGCAACCTTTCCGCAACAAGCAGACAGTATAGTTTTGAAGACACCAATACCACAAGTCTTGCCACATTCTTCCGACCCCTCCACTTTGCAAGAAACCGAGACCTCAAATAACCCCACCCCAAAACAAAACGCCGAAGAGATTGTAGATGCCCCCACACCAACCATTAACGAAAACGAAGACGAAATTACCACAGACCTCATTCGACCGTTACCGATAGAAAAAATAGTAGGCGAGTCAGGGGACGGTATCGGACTCGGAGATCCAAGTTTACAAATTGGATCTGATGGTTTACCGCGCCCTCAGAGGGGACGAAGGCGGATGGAAGTTCTGCCAGAGTTTGTAGATGTGCTGCCTGAATATTCTCCTTGAAGAAATTGTAAGGCTTTTATTTAGATCTATCATCTATGCATGTATATGTAACTATACTTTGAAACGAGTTGTTTGTAGCTATGAGTATTGTAGATGGAATGTAAGTTTCAACGGTTGTGGTCAAGTTTCCTCCATGTCAAATGCATTTCTGGTGCGTCTTCTACAAATTGTCTTGGTCACCCCACCCTATAACACAACACTGAAGAACATCCTAAGCAGCGTCTGCTATCGCACGATCAAGACTATATACAAACCAGTCGCATTCAGTCTACAGCGCCAATATTTTAGAACTGTGATCAACAAACCAGCAATGGCACAACAGAAGCAAAAGTACCAGTACTTCGCTGTTTTAGGCGAGTTATTGTTGCCTCTACCATCAAATCCTACTCTTTTGAGAAGCGAAATCTAACGAGCTCACCCTTTAGACTTTGAAGCCACCTGCGACTCACCCAAAAATGTATCTCCTTTGGAAATCATCGAGTTCCCCATCGTTCTACTCGACGCTACATTAGCCAACTGTCCAGCAGTTGCAGAGTTCCATCACTATGTGAAGCCAGTCAAGAATCCTAAACTATCAGCGTTCTGCACAGAGCTCACGGGGATCGAGCAGAAGACTGTGGATGCGGGTATTCCTTTCAACGAGGTGTTCAAGAATTTGGAGGTGAGTGTTTGATATCGAGTATCTCTCTCCAACTCCAACCGGCCTCGGACGACATTCGTGCTTTAGAAGGCCGGTTCGGTAGATTCTAACTCTTTATTTAGGTTTTTATTACCTCACACGGTCTAACAAAAGACAACACCATCGTCATCACCTGTGGCGACTGGGATCTCAAAACCATGTTCCCCATCCAACTCTCCGTGACCGGTATTCCCGCCACTCCTGAACTCTTCCAACAATGGTGCAACCTTAAAAAGGCCTTTGCCGACTTTAAGAAGAAGCCTGCAACGGGAATGGCTGGGATGTTGACTACCCTTGGGTTGCCGTTAGTGGGGAGACATCATAGTGGAATTGATGATGCCCGGAATATTGCTAATGTTGCGCGGACTTTGGTTGCACAAGGATGCTTGATTGAGGTGACCACAACCGTTCAGCCAAAGAAACCAAAGCAACCCAAGGCGGACGGCGCCGCAGTAGCAGCCACCGCAACCACTCGAACAATTCCCGGTGAACCGCCTGGGAAGAATGTCGTCAAGATCCCCTCTCAGCCTAAAAAGAAGAACAACACCCCGAAACAACCTCCACCACCGGTGCCCGACTGCGGACCCATCATCGACATCGGCGCCAACCTCACACACAAACCTTTCAACAAGGAAACTCTCCCTTCCTACCTCAAACGCGCAAGAAAGGAGGCGGGGGTGCGTCACATCATCCTGACAGGCACCAGCATCAAAGGCAGTCAAGAGGCCATTCAAGTTTGTAGAGAGTACAACTCGGCCCCCAACGCCGCGGAAGACTACCCGCACTTGACATGCACTGTTGGGGTACATCCACATGATTCTGGGCGCCATTGTGAAGGTGAAGGAGATTGGGTTTCTACCCTCCAAACACTCATCAGCTCCAACAGAGACATTGTTGTTGCAGTTGGTGAATGCGGTCTTGATTTTGATCGAAACTTTTCCACGCCCGCTCACCAAATCCTCGCATTTGAAAAACAAATAGAGCTCGCACTCAAACTGGACTTGCCGCTCTTCCTGCACGAGCGAAGCGCGCACGAAAAGTTTGTAGAAATTTATGAGAGGTACAACAAGAAGGGGAATTTGAGGGGTGTGCTGCATTGTTATACCGGCGAGACAGAGGGGCATTTGGAAAAGTGTTTACAGTTGGGTCTTCATATTGGGATTACGGGTTGGGTGACCGATATGCGACCCGGACGCGGGGAGGGGCTCGCATCCATCGTCCCCAAAATTCCGTTGGAGAGGTTAATGGTGGAAACTGACGCGCCCTTTTTGACGCCGAGGAATTTGAAGCCGTTACCAAAGGTGAATGAACCGGCTCTTTTGGGATGGGTTGTGAAAGGGGTTGGGGAGTGTTTTGGGATGGATGTGAAAGAGATTGGGAGGATTTCTACAAAGAATGCGGTGGAGTTTTTCAAGCTGCCAGCGATCTAATTCTACTGTAGTTTCTTGGAGAATAAAGGAAAGATATGCCAGTTGCTTCGCGCGTACTTTATGGATACCATATTGAAGGTAATGCTCGACTATACGAGTTTGTCAAAATCCACGGCAGGCTGTTTTTTGAATCATCGCGGGTAAAGTGGACGAGTCGATTTTGAAGTGTCTTTGTGTGACATTATCCGCTTCCGAACCCGAAAAAGGACGAGAAGATTGTGACGGATGTTCTGCGTTTGCTTTCTCCGCGGCGACTGTTTCTGAATCTCCGCGAACAGCAGTTGTTACTTATCTTGAAAAAAGACACCAAGCGCCTCAGAAGCGTTGCCTGTGGCCTCACTTTCAAGTGATGTAATGGTATATATTTAGATGCCAAATGCAGTTATGTGTATGCACAAAAAAACGAACAAGAATATTACGAATAGAGAACATCGGAAAAGGAAAATTGCAATGCAGTAACGGCCGGCTATGCAGAAAACAATCACAACACCATCACCTGCTCCAACCCACCTCCATACATCGCATCCAAAAAATTCTTGATCGACTCCGGGGTATAGTTCTTCAACATGGCATTGTGCGCCACCTCCACCCACCCTTCATCAACCCTTACACATTCCTCAATCTCATCCGCTGTCAGCTCTCTGCAATCTCTCAAATCAATCTTAAGAGCTTTCCAGTTTAGAGTTGGGTGCGAAAGGCGGGTTTGGCGGCGTTTGGAGACGAATATTGATATGATTTCGGGTGTGAGGAGGCAGTGGTGGCTCAAGTCGAGGTAGAAGAAGGAAGGGGTGGGCGTAGAGGCGAGCATTAGAAGGGCGCGATGGATACCAAAGCCTGTGAGAAGGGGGCAGCCGGCGAGTTTCAGGGATTGAAGTCTTGAGAGAAAAGTGGATGGGGTTTCTTTAGTGTTGGTTTGAGTGGACGAGACAGAGGCGGGTTCAGTTGAACTGCAGATGTATTTCAACCCACGATCTGTGAGGCGTCTACAAAATGAGACATCCAAGTTCTTCAAATTTGGCATCTGCGAAACGATGCTTTTCAAAACTTCGTCCGTAACTCTTGTTCGCGCCAAACACAAAGTCTCTAAATTCATCAACAACCCCGTCAACCTACTCATTTTGGAAGGTGCGAAAAGGGATTCGCCCGTGAATTCGTCGCAAAACTCCAAATTGATGGAGCGGAGGTTGGGAAAGTAAGGTAGGCATTGTTCAAGGTGGTGGTCTTGGAGGTCTTTGTGGGGTGATGTGAGATGTTGGATGTGGAGCATGCTGGATTTGAATTTTGTGTAGAGAGTAGGGGAGATTGGGATGAAGCAGTGTTGCGGTTGATGGCGGCTGTGCTTCTGGTGGTTGTTGTTACCGGTGTTGGTGGAGTATCTGTACATCTTCAGACGGGAAGAGATGGATTCCATGATAGGATCGGTGGAACTAGTGCAGTCGCTCGAGTTGAAGTTTTTAGAAGACATTGATGATGATCGCTTCCCCGCATGATCAAGTTCAAGGAGAATGCCTTCGGCAGTAAGTCCTATAGATTGATTCCGCCAGAGGTTGGGTGAAGATGCAATTTGGTGCCAGTGTCGAGAGACATGGCTAGCTTCAATGAGGTCTTTCAGTGAAAGGTGTTCCATGATGGCTTGAAGCATCTATCATTACTTTACGTTAGCCGTTCTGTATGGCAAAAATAGCTAGAGACAATGAGCCATTACTTCTGAAGGCAGATGTCGCTTAGGCTTGTCTAGTGCGATCGCATTTGAAGAGTCCATTTTCAAGTCCACTCTGATTGAAAGTAGAATGCAGTGCGTTGAAATCAAAAAGATGCAGATATAGAATGCAGATAAATGCAGCGATGCAGATGTTATGAATGCAGAATGCAAATGATCTAGATGCAGATGGAGAATGAGGGAAAGGGAAGGAGAAGGGGGGGGGGGGTTTGTTTACTTTGTGCTGGCGGAGTTCTGTCGGAGTCTCAAAAATATAAGAACGCGTGAAGTAAGTTTACAACACAACTTTACTAAACAAAAATTTACGAAACTAGCATCAAAATGTAGCCAAACGGCAGGACTGTCTGATGATTTAGAAAACAACGCAAAAAGAAGGTAGAATTGACGGGGCAAAAAGCGCAAAAATAAAGACGCCCATGGTGGGGATCGAACCCACGACATTCCGCTTAAAAGGCGGACGCTCTAAACCACTGAGCTACACGGGCTCTTGAAGTTTCTCTGTGATGGTGGTGTAGATGATCAATAGATTTGTATGTAGGTAACTTGGAGGTTTGAAAAAATAAATCAAAGTTTGTTAGAATTGGATGTCGGTTTACTTTGGAGCAGTGACGACGGAAACCTTTCGTTTCTCGTTTCTCGTTTCTGGTCTGCCATCACCCGTTACGACCTTTTTCCCTCAGTCTTCGCGCCGGGCTAACCCTTGGAGTAACGGTCAAGGCTCCTTCTTGGGATCTTAGTGACGATTTCTTCTCTAGCAGTTAGCTATGGGGAGAAGGGTCCGACGACCAGTCGGATCGTCGCATTTGTGGAGAAAATGGTCGCCGATTCGTTGCGCGTGCGACCCTGCAAAAAGACCAGTGGAAGATGCCCGCACTGATTTACATTTTTGCACATGCTCCCTCCACTTGGCGAGAAGATCCTGAAAGGTCTCGAAATTCTTCCGCGAACAAAAAGATGGCGGAGAACGCGAGTCGTCAAGGCCAAAGCTCGGGAGGCGATGGAGACGACACCTCTTTACCTACCTATGCCAACACTCCTTCTCCAGCGGTAGAAAACCCACCCGACGCGGATCCGACACATGAAGCTCTGATTGCTCACATGTGGGACGATGACCCACTGACCCACCGATCTAAAATGACACAATTTTACGCGCGATATCCCATAAGCCTTATCACATGCCAGTTTCTTGATTCAGACCTGCAACGCGTCGCACAGCTCAGAGTGAACAAAAAGTAAGGAAGAACACGTCTCACATACTAATGGTGCTGATTGTCTCTCGATACTAAGCCATGATATCGCTTTGTGCGTTCCCTTAAAATAAACAGACGCCTTGTGGACTACAGAGACTATATGGTCTTCACCTTTTCAGGTATTCCGTTCTGAAATTTCTTTTATAATCCCTGTTGATTAACCAAATTCACAAATTGTAGCAAACCTTGGCTACCTCATTTTCAGTATTGTTTCTAATCCACAGCCAGGCCTCTTCTTCCGCGAACTCTTCATAAACATGGGCATCGCAATGGGGTTTCCGTTTGCAGAGGCCGTACTACTAAGCGTTGTCCTAAAGCGAGGCCCTGGCGCACTGATGGATCGCGTCACACGCTGGATTCATTTGTGGCATCCCTTTTTCTACACATTCTGCTTCTACTTTATGCTTCCTGGAATGGCGTACTCGTAAGTAATACCTGTGTTAGCTACTTGGATAACTTGTCTTCTGACGCGCGAAATATGATTCCAACTAGGTATTACAAGGTTGTCGCGCAATCTGGATTGACCTTTTTCGACACGTTTGTAGACCCGCTTTACACGTTCGTCTTCTACTTTGCCATCAATGTTGCAGCCAACAGCAACATGCTTCTCACTTACTTTGTGGCAATACTGTACGTCACTGCCAATGTCTGCTCTGTGCAGTTTGCATCCAAGGTTCCTGCCATGTCACTGATGAGCGGAGCCCTAACTTACTTGGCAAGGTATGTTTTAGTATACGGCAATCCTTGTCACTTGACGTTTGAAAGTACTAAAATCATTTTGCATCTGTAGTTGCGCCGTGGGATGCGTGTCTTGTCGTTCAACAGTTCTAAACTATCTCCGCCTTTACCTTCTCGAAGAGGAGTTGGATAAATATTATAGCAGCGACTATGCGACAACCATCAACGGCAATATCAGCAGTTTAATCGACAATTCCTGTAGCCAGGCCTCGATTTCCATGATTGGTGGCAAAGACAACGTGACAATTCCATCGTTGAGTTCTATCTGTTCTACAATAGAGATGGGCCGCAGGAAAAGACCTTCGATAGCAGGACTGGAAGATTTTGAGAAAATAACAACGACATTGACCAAAGGAATAACGCTGGGGAAAACGAAGGGTAGAGTCGTCCTCAGGAGGGAGCTGACAAGGGTTGCAGAAGAGGATCCATTACAAGAGGGGTCTTCAAAACTAACGTTAGAACAAAAAAATGATCCTCAACAATTGCCCCATCAAGAAGAACCAAACCCACAGCAAAATCAAGCTAAAAACACCCCGAGCACTCAACCCTCTCAAACTCAATCCAAACTCATCAATTTAATCTCAGCCATCATCTCCGCTTTCACATCCCCCTTCCTCACCCCCTCCTTCCAATTCAAAAACCCTCACCTCGAATCTCTCTTCGCAACCTGGCGTCTCCGCCATTTCGAAACAACATACATTTTCAGTTCTTTCACGCTTGCGCTGTCCGCGTTTCTTCAAGCCGGTATGGACGTCTACACCTTCTGCGACCCCGATTTAACTTTAAAGTCGCCGAGTCTGTGTCCCGGCAGACCCAACTTTGGTACCATAATGACATTACGGGTGTTAGGACTTGGTGGGTGCGCTTTGGCTGGGCTCTTGGTGATGTTGTTTGGGAAGCAAGTGTGGTGGTGGAAGAAAAGAGGAGAGGACGATACAAGAAGGAAGGTGAAAATATCAAAAAAGTCAAGTAAGGGAAAGGAGAGGCTGAAGAAGGCTCAAAGGATCTCGACAACGAATTTCATTATTCAGTGTGGATGGTGCTATGTGATCATGTTTTTCACTTCCGGCATATCAAATGACGTAGGCTATAGCACGTCGCCTGCAGGTGATTTCACACAGAGTATGTTTCAGTGCCACATTGTGAGCGTCGTGGTCTCTTGTGTATCACTTTTCAGCGACAGGCCGTATTTCATCATTTTGATGCTATTCAATGTCATTTGCGCCGGGGTGGTTGCAGCAGTACTCAAGTTACCGCTTTCAATTCGGTTTGCTATATGTAAGTGTGACTTCTATACTATAAACTCCAATACGAATACTTACTGACTAAACCTTCCCAAAAAGCCGTTTTGATTGTCGCTTCCGCCTGCTACAAGTAAGTATTATTGCGTCCTAGTTTATGATGTTTTAATATTGATCTGCATTTGTAGCGTGGTCAAAATCTGCGAACGCATAGAACGAAAAGTGTTCTTCTACGAGCGACTGGTGGGATGTACACTTCCTCCACCACCCAAAGAAAGATGCGAGGGCGGCGCTGTTGGGGCCGATAAAAGTAGGAAGTCATGGACTAAAGGAACGTTGCTTTAAAGTAAGTTTGAATAAATGGGGTTTGTGACAGTTCTCCTTTTATGTGAGAATACTGACGAAAGTATTCAAATCATCGAAGCGAGTAGTGTTCTAAAACAAAGCGAATTCGTCTTTTTTTCCTCTTTTTAAAAAGAAAAGACGAAGAACAAGGAGAAGACTGAGGAAAAAAGGTCGTAACGGGTGATGGCAGACCAGAAACGAGAAACGAGAAACGAAAGGTTTCCGTCGTCACACCTCCAAAGTAAACCGACATCTTTGATTTATTTCCAACAAATTTTGATTTATTTTCAAACCTCCAATATACCTACATACAAATCTATTGATGATGTACACCACCATCACAGAGTATTTTCAAGAGCCCGTGTAGCTCAGTGGTTTAGAGCGTCCGCCTTTTAAGCGGAATGTCGTGGGTTCGATCCCCACCATGGGCGTTAAAATTTCTTTTTTTTATGTTTTGGAATTCTTTTCTACTGTAGATCATCAGATAGTGCCACTGCTTGGCTACCTTTTTCATCGCTTTTTGTTTAGTAAAAGAGAGGGCAGATAGTTTGTGCGTACTAGTTCCTGGCAGAGAAGAGTGGAACCAGTTTTGCTTCTGTGTTGGGGAGAATGATAAAAACAACGTGGAAGAAATTGCAATAGAAAAGTATCCAGAGGGGATGTGTTGTGGGATGACACGCCTCACAGCCATAAAAACATAAAAAAGGGGGGGCTGGAATTGGACTGATTTTTCATGGGTACTGCAGTTCTGCAAAGTTTCTCCGCACTCAACCCAAAAATTAGTAATTAGTGAATTTGCGTCGATTTGATTGGAACGTCATCGAAGCAAAGAAAAGCAGCTCAAGCAGACAAACAGACAGACAGACAGTTGTCTTCGCTTCACCACTTGCTCACATCACACACCACTCACAACACACACACACACAGACAGCACCACTTCGCACTTCTGCGGCATCTGTCCATCGGCTGATACATTGCACACCACCACACTCCATTCATTGCATTGTATTGCATTCCATTCGACCACCAACAACAACATATCAACGGCATCTCTCTCACACCAGCAATCAACACCGTCTCACACAACAAACATGCATGCAAAGAACACGGTGCGCTCGCACAGGCACAACCTCAAACTACCAATGGTGAGCTTGTCTTCTAGCCATTGCTAGTCTCAAATGATACTGACGTTATATGTGTGTGTGTTTGTGTGTGTGTAGGACCACCGAGATCACTTTACTGAACCTTTCGACGATTGCCTAGACACACTCCTCGACACCCTCCCCCGCTTCCATGCCCTCCACTCCTCCTCCTCCTCCTCCTCACCTTCCTCAACCACACGCAAGCAACACAAACAAGACTGGGAACACCTTAAACGAACCGCTTTTGCTCGGGCTCCGCGCGGATCCAAATGGACCGTGTGGATAAGCAACGAGCTCAAGGAGAAGTTTGCTTCTTACAAGATCGAGTACTGCCCCGAAGGCGCTACTCATGGAGAGTTTGTACAGCTGCTTATCGATGTGAGGAGTTACCTGTCTTCTGCTGTTTCTGCCAGGTTGTCGGTTTCGCCTTCCGATAACAAGTCTACAACTGCGGTACGTGGGGGTGCCAATGGCGGCAAAACAACCGGAAAAGGTTCTCCAAAGAGATCGGCGATGCAACACAGCACTCCCAAGATAACAACAGCAACACCCACTATCACTATCGATGTGGCTCCGCGCACTAGCAAGACTAGACGCAGCAGTGTGGCCAACTCTTGGGCTCCCTCCACGTTCAGCTTGAAATCCACATCATCATCGACAGCAGTGTCTCACCCGAAAAAGCCATCTCTGCACCCCTCCTTCACGAACACCAGCTCCGTACCTACACCCACAACAACCACAAACTCCTGGGCCCAATCCCTCCGCTCCT